TGGTCTGAGCTGACGATGGCGCATGCGGCTGGCAGGCGCGACTCCACCGAACGCAGACATCGGGCCGTGTCGGGGCAACTCGTCCAAGCCTGTCCGTGGCACGCCCGAGTACAACAAGACGCACAACATTTGCGACTCGTTCCCCATGTACATGGAGATCGACTACATCCGCATCTACCAAGACAAGAGCTCCATGTTCGTCGGGTGCGACCCTCCCACGCACCCGACCAAGCAGTGGATCGACGGCCATCTCAAGTGGTACACGGACGCCAAGAACCCGATGGTCCGCGTCGACGGCGGCGCCACGTGCAACTCGGACGACGACTGCCAGGCCACGGCTGCGACGATGCCGAGTGGACGATGTGTCATGCGTCGTTGTGCCTGTGTTGGTGGCTACGGCGGTACGTCACGGCAGCGCCACGTGTGATGTAAAGTCATGAGCCGTGTTGCTCGTAGGCCCGCGCTGTACAAAGTTCGTCGGCAGCAAGGCGCTCAACATCCACGACGAGAGCTACTTTGGTCCTAAAGTTGTGTACCCTGCTGTCCTTGTGAGCGTGATGGCGGCGATGATTGGATTGACATGCGTATGGCGCATGCACCTGCAGAGTTCGGCCGCCTCGATTGCATCGGCCATGCACAAGTCGAGGCATAACGGAGACGTCGAGAAACTCGAGGACGTTAGTGTAGCCACGGGGCAGCCACGGAGGTATTATTCACCTGCCAACATGATGTGAACAAGGTCATCGTGACTTCTTCGTCGTCGCGTTCCTCTGGCGGCACCTTGGGCCAAATGTAAAAGCGCGACGGGCCGTTGGTGGTGCCTGAAAGTATGCAATTCAACGTCTCACGTAGAATATCATCTCCTTCTCTCGATTTTGAAATTCGGGGCCACTGGGCACTGCCGACGGAATAATCCTCCATTGCCGACGTAGACGTGAGACGGCACATGGTCGGGAAAACGTTGGTTGTGTCATCCGTACGTAAACATGGCCTGTACGACATATGCGCATCGCAGCAGCCAATGTCGTATATTCCACTACGCTTCGGGCGACATCCTTTGCGTGCTTTGATATTCATTCGACCACGGAAAATTGTCCATAAACTTGGTGGTGGTGTATCCATGCTTCGTTCGAGTTTCCCAATATTATCTAAAATATTTGGTAAAAATCGCACAACTGTTGGAGAAAGTACGACGGACGTGATGGGACGTGCGTTGTCATCTTGTGTGCCGCCTGTGCAGCCGCCGACGCTGTCAGCAGTGTCTAGTTAGAACGTGAGTGTGCAGCATCGAAGCGGCGGTGAGGTGCCAGCAGCGCACCGGCAACTTGGAACCGGACGTCCCCGCTCTCCAGTCCTTCAAACCTGTCCACGAGCAAACAGCTCGCCAGGGGCAACGAGTAGAGCCAATGGAGCCATTTCTACACATGAACAGGCACAAAGTGAGAGCGTGTGGCTATCTAAAGCGAGCTGGTCGACCTTCTCGTCGTCGCCGAGTGGCGTCGCCATCGCACCAGCTCACAAGATATGTCATCACATATGTCTTGTTAAGTGCGTATTTCTCTAAGTCCACCTCCCATTCGGAGGAAAGAATTTCATATGCTTGTCCATCTTGGTGCCCGACTCCGTAAGCTTGATTAGCCAATAAGTAATCTTTTTCAGCCAATCTCAGTGAATCCTTTGGGACAGCCCCCGATGGCATGTGAGATGTCAAAAGGCATGATTTGGAATAGCCGTTCCGCAGAAAAGGAGGACGGTGATGCTGATGTGTAATATCCGCACATCTCCCTCCGACCGCGACAGGACAGCCGCCGACGCCGCCGCTGCCCGACTCGTCCGAAGGAGTCACAGCAATGGCATTCACACACCGCCATCACGCTATGACCGTCGGTCCTGTGCTTGTGTTATTTGCAATTGCCACAACCACACGTGCAATCGATTATGAGTACGAAACCCTACCGGCCAAGTCGGGCGTCGGCGTCTGGGTCGATGTGGACACGCCGTTGGATGCGCGGACCAAGGTGTCGTCCCGCGGTGAAACATGGGACCTTGTCATGAGTGACGAGTTTGAGATCGAAGGACGAACGTTCAAAGCGGGCCAGGATCATCTCTGGACCGCACTCGACATCCCAGACGGCGTCAACGCTGCGCTCGAACTCTACAACTCGTCCAACGTGTACACGAAGAACGGCAAGCTCATCAACAAAGTCGAGGAAGGCACGACCGTCGTCACGTACTACAACCAGTGGCTCGACAAGCCAGCCTTTGAAACGAATTCCCTGGTACCAAAATCCATCCCCATGCGAGCGATCCTCCCTAACTTGCGCGCGTGCAGTACTATTCGGCAGGCATGATGCAGTCGTGGAACAAGTTTTGTATCCAGGGAGGGCTCATCGAGGTCGCCGCCAAGCTGCCCGGAGCCATCAACGCTATCCCCGACGACGAGCACAAGAGCGTCACGATGAACCCGAACGCAATCGGAGTGTTCTGGAAGGACGGCGTCAAGATTCCTCTCACATCGCGGGACCGTGTCAAGGACGGCGCGTACTACCCGACGTGGCCCGGCATTTGGCTCATGGGGAACCTCGGCCGCGCGCTCTTCACCGCATCGACCACGCGCATGTGGCCATGGACGTACAACGAGTGCGACGCCGACTTGTCTCCCCATCAAGCAATCTCGGCTTGTGACCCGAATCCTGGCTACGGTTTGAATCCAAACCAAGGCCGCGGCGCGCCAGAAATCGACGTCTTGGAAGGCGGCGGCGCGGCCATCTCGTCGTCGATTCAAATCGCCCCTGGCATGCCCGATGAGTACCGACGTAAACCCGTGCTCAAGCCCGACAACAAGTACTGCGTGTACGGCAAGGCGTGCGCGACACCGGGCGCCAACATCCCAGACGCCCCCACGTCTGCATACGCCGCCCGTGGCCATCGCAGCTGGTACCAAGGGCTGAAATATGCCGCCAACAACCGGTGTCCATCCGATCCGGTCGACCGGCAAGCGTACGAACCAGTAAGTGGATCACGGGCATCCATGATGAGTATATGCATCGTGTCGACGGTGCCGTAGGTGCAAAATGTTCGGACAAATCCAGCGCTGCTCGTCTCGAACGTGTACGACAAGACTCAAATGAGTGCCGCCCGCGACGTCAACGCAGACTTGAGCGTGATGGACGGCAAGGGGCCGTCCCACTGGGGC